TCTCAAACATTCTTCTTAAAGTTACTTTCAAGAATAATTAAGTTTCTCAAATATCATAAAGCTTAGAGAATATCCCAATCAGGTAAACCCTTTTCAAAAGGAAACTGTGAAATGAAATAAGAATCTTTTGAAAGGCTCTGAATTGTATTCCTCTTTTTCTTTTTTTCCAATATCAACTTTAGCAATTCATCATTTTTTGGGATAATTACATAATAAACTGTTGACAATGACCCTGGTTGACTTAGAGGCACTATGCCAAGCTACTAGGAGAGTATAATATTGTCTTTTAAATTCAATTTAGAATACCTAGTTTAGACTTAGTTTTGTTTAGTCAAAACTAGCTTAGTGGACTCTATATATTTTTTAAGTAATATAGTTCTTTAACTAATAATGTACAATAATGAGTTAGTCACTTTGTGAAAAAGTTTATAAAATATTTTGATATCTCTCAATAAATCAATAAAGACATGCTAAAGTGACATGATTGTGGGTTAAAAAAAAAAAAATTTTTTTTAAACATGGTAAGAATGCTTTTTTAACATTTTCACTCGAATGGGTATTCCACAACTATACAAAGTCTATTGTTATACTCTATATTCTCTAATCTTTATCAATAAAATGAATAGTTATACTCAAGAATGCTTTCATTGAAACTGATATTCAAATATCCAGTATAAATAAAATATAACTTTTCCTAATGAAAGCAAATAAACAAATAGTTAGATACTTTACATCACTATTAAAGAGAAAGTTATTGGAAGGTAGAAACTGGAAAACTGGAAATAAACAATTATTACTTGCATGCAAATAGCCAGTTAAACGAAGTAAAATTAATAATATTCTATATTTATACCATCTTCAAGTATTAATTTTAATAAATAATTAAAAAAAGAGCATGAAGAATTAAAAGCATACAGTCGCTTATTGAACGAAAATCAAAAAAAATTATCAAATATCAGAATAAATTAATTGATATAATTAAAGAGACAAAGATGTATTCACCTGAAAAACGTAAGACTGATTTGGGAAACTTTACTAAAAAAAGAATAAATATATATGATTACAGTTGACATTCTAAAAAGATATTTTTTGGCAAAATATTTTATGCTAAATAATTATAATATTAATCATAATTATTTATAGTTAAAGGATTTGTTAAAATATTTGAATGAATATTTGAAATCAATTCAAGCATTTCAGCTGACTCCTATTTTTATGACGTAATATCACCAAAAGGCTTACTGAATTGGATATATAATTTGAAAGAAATTTTAAAATATAAACAAGAAAAAGATATAAGAAAAGGAAAAAAATTGGCAGTTAAATTCAAAAGATAAAAAATTACTAAATATGAGGAATCATAAATGTATTTAGAAGGTGAGGAACAAACTAGGAAAAGTATATGAATAAATAAAATTTGAGGGTAGTTAGATTGAAAGAAAAAAATGAAAAATCTCAGAAAACAATTAGCAAGGTAAAATCAATTGGGACTAGTTTTAAAAGAATCAAGCCAAGATCTTTAAAGGAAAAAAAAAAACAAGTGAAAAAGAAAGAAGAGGAAAATGATGAATAATTTAATCAATTGATTTTATAATTTTTTAATAAATTTTATAAAATTTGAATTTTTTGCCACAATAATTTTTTTGTTAAATTTTTTGCTGAATTTTTTTCTGCAATAATTTTTTGTCAAATTTTTTACTGTAGTAATTTTTTTGCTATAATATCAATTTTTTTGTCAAATTTTTTATTGCAGTATGGAAAAAAATTTTTTTGTTACAATATTGTCAGATTTTATACTGAATTTTTTTTCACTGTATATCAATATTTTTTTGTCAATTTTTTGTTAATATTTTTAATGCCAAGTGGCAGCAGTTATAAATAATTCATTGTTCTTTTTATTATTAATTTTTATCAAATTCAGCAATAATTCGATTGTCAAATAACATAATTTCAACTAATGTTAAAAGATTTATTTTTTTCTTTTTAAATTAACCTGATTCTTTTAAAGTTTTTATTTTCATGATTTTCTAAAAAATTTTATCTACAGTATTTCAATTTGATTTTGAATTTTAGATAGCACAAATTCTTATCAAAATAATTAATTAATATAAAATACATTAGTTTTTAAATTGTAAACAAACTTCTATTATTCATATTCACATATTTAGATAATATTATTAAAGATTAAAAAGAAAGTTTTAAAATGTTTGCTTCAGAAGCTTAAGTTCTTTAATAAAGATATTTATGATATCAAAAGATTAAGTAATGAATAATATAGATTATAGACTCTTATCTTTTACTTAATTCTTTAGATAATAATAAAACTTTAATAAATAAAAACTGAAGTTTAAATATTTTTTTAAGATATTCCAATTTAGTACTCACTTAAATAAAGAACCAGTTAAATTGTTTTATTTGATACCACAAATAATGAAAAAAAAAATTTTCCAAGATTCAAATAAAGCAAGAAAACTATTTCAATTAGATAGATCTTTTTTGAGAGGAAATTGATTTTATTTTTGGATTTTTTTGATAATCCTTAAATTGTCTTTTTCTTCCAATTGTTTTTTTTTCTTTCTTCTTTTTAACTTAATAATTTATTAGTTTTTGAATTAATTAATAGTAACAACTATTGATAATAATTCTAATAAATAGATATTATAATCAATTTATTAGGGAAGTATAAAATTGTTTTCAAGATCTGATTTAAAGTACTTATACATGAAAATGAATTGATCACTTTATAAAAGAGTTAATAAACGATTGTAAATTTTGTTTTAATTTTTCAATAAAGATATATTATTGTGAGTTAAAAAAATAAATAAATAAAGATAAAAGAGAGATATGAAATAATAATTGAAAGGGAAGATAAAAGAATCAATTATTAATTTTATATTAATAAAATCTCTAGATTTTCAGTTTTATTTTAATATATTTTTTATTAATTTCTATACAATAGTTTTAAATAATCAATAAATAAAAAATTCCTAAAAAGTTTTGTTACACACTGTATATTATATGTAAAGACATTTGTATATATATACTTTACCTAAAATAATAATAATAATAATAAATTATATTTAAAATGTAATCTATCACAAACAAGCAAACTATTGTATAAGGTATATAATAAAGACAATTGAATATTTATTGATTATAAAAAAAAATTCAAACTAAATTGGTCAATAATTTCGACCAGAATTGAGTAGCTTCCGCCGAAGTGAATTGGGAATGAATTAAATCCGGTCAGGATTAGGCAACCGGGCAAAAGTAAGCGAGCCCTGCTGGTGTTAATTAATTTCGGCTGGGGTTGATTTAAAATTGGGCGATTCTGTTCAATGTTAGTCGAAATCAGGTGTGAGTGCACTCTTGATTTTAATGCATATTTCAACAGTTAATTTAATCAAAGGATGCAGTTAAGGAGAGAAATATTTATAGAGTATAAAGCTTATCCATATTACATATTTTTGATCGTATAATAAATATCCAGAAGATTTTACTTGATTTCAAAAAATGTATAATTTCAAAAATGATGAGAATATTGAAAAAATAAAAATCCACGCAACTCTTCTCTTATATATCAGTTCCAGTGAAAACTTGACTTGTATTCTTATAATTTTTTGGACTCTTGAAATTGAGATTCAAATGTTTTTAAAGACTTTTCTCTCTATTCTCAAACGCGTCTCTCGAGATAAAAACCGAATAATTTTGTAAGATATCGAGTAGTCGGTTTTTTGAGGTTGCAATATTGATTCCACTCGAATATTGTTATGTTCAAGTACCGATAAAATTCTTTTAAAACCTTAAATGTCAGTTAAATGTCAGTCAATAAAGTTCTTAAGTTTATTTATTTATTAAATCCAACTTTTTTGAAATTAACACGAGAAATTTCTTTTCTCAAAAGATAAATAACCGGTAATATAGAAGTACATTAATTATTCCAATGTAGAAGAAAAAAAATAATTTTTCCATCTTCACCTCATTATCCCAACACATGGATTTATACATGCATTTATATATATATATGCTTAACCCAGAAAATATATATATATATATATATATATAAAAGTAATAAAGTTCGTTAGGTGTCGGAAGGGAAAAATTTATAATGAATAGGGGGGAGAGGCAAGGCAAAAACATCAAAATAAAAAGGAAGAAAAAAAAAAAAAACTATATACATCGAAGAGAAGGGATGATTTCTAAAGGGAAATATGTATAGAGTGAAGGATTCACAATTGAAGGTAGTCCCATGAAAAAAAGGTTTTCGTGCACAAAACACAGTGTGATCACTGGCGTTCCCGTCAGAAGGAAACTGTGGTGGTTGATAACTTTACATGTAATCAAGGAATCTACGAAATTTTTATTGCTGGATGTATAGAATCAACGGAATACGTGTATAGTATAGTATAAATTACAAGGGTTAGGAAAGAAGAATCACGATATACTTTTTCGACAAGGATGAAATATATATATATATTAGTAATATTTTGAAGTGTATAAACGAATAGATATTTTACGGTTTTTCATTTCATTTTTTTTTTTTTTTTTTTTTTTTTTTTTGTTTAAAGAGAAAGCTTGAATCAACAAGCAATCTAATTGTTGGTTGATGAAGTGGTCGGGCGACTTGATGGAGCCGCCGGTGGTGGTTGCGGTGGATGAGGATGGGCAAAGAAGTGATTTGACGGTGATGATGATTGTTGGGTGGTTCCCTGCTGTGAACCATCGAAAGACGGAGTCCGAGGATGGTGAACCAGCTCTGGACGATGGTGATTCAGCGGTGGAGGTTGTAATGCGGCAGGATGTGAGGAGTGATAGTGATAATTCATGTTGTTATGTTGGCCGGGGTGTTGTGGTGGTGGCTGTGGTATCAATCGATGGTTTTGCGGGAATCCGAATGAGCTGTTTGACGGAGGGGACGGACCCACGGGTGATGGTGGATGAAGCTGGTGAACGGGGGGGAGGTGATGGGGGTGAACAGGCTGAGGCGGTGGACCGGACCTCAGGTCACGGGAGGGCAGTGGATTTGACGTGCTGTCAAAACCTGGAGACCTCTGTCGATAGAGCGGTGCCTGAGGCTGGGGTTGTGCCGTCGGGAACATGCGGTTTGTTGGAGTGAAGCTTATGTGCATGCCATTCCCTATAGGATGAACCGATGGCAGGGAGTGAGAATTGTGAGCAGTTCGCTGATCATGAGTTTTTTCGTGTTTACGAAGTGATCTTGAATGGTAATAGGCTTTTGTGCAATTCTTGAACGGGCACTTGTACGGTCGAATATTTGAATGCGTCTTCACGTGAGTTGTCAAGGAATCGGGCCTCGAGAACCTTTTGCCGCAACCATTTATGTTACACACAAAGGGTCTCTCTCCGGTGTGAGTTCTCAGGTGGTTGTACATCTTGTGACGTTTGGTGAACGGTTTTTGTCCTCGCAGGCAGCCCTCCCAGTCGCACGCGTAGGTGGCCTTTTTATTAAACGAAAAGAAATCGTGAGACAAACGAGGACACAGAATCTAATCGCCCGATTCCAAAGTGCAAAAGTGTGCGCGCGCGTGTGTGCCGGATCACTCTCACCTTTCCGCTTCCAATGTGAGCATCGCCAACGTGAGATATCAACGTGTCCAGGGTGTTGAGCACCTTGGTGCACCCTCTCCACATACATCGGTGAACGTCTTGCTTCTCGTCCTGAGCACTCTCCGGTTTCACCGAACCCATCGACGGGGAACTTTGTGAACTGCCCGCCACCACGTTCTCCGACTCTTGCTTTATGTCATCCGTGTCGGCGGGAGTCAACGGAACGTCGTTGTCATCTGTGGAAGTATCTTGAAAATATGAGCATCGACCGAACACAATTCACCTCAATATATAACGACACCAATGGGCGAAACAATGCCCTGCTGCTGACACGTCCATTGTTGACTCTTTTTTTTTTTTTTTTTTTTTTTTTTTTTACAATCACCAACTGCCAATTGAACGAGGTCCGAGTTAAAGCCGTTGCCCAATAATAACACTTACCACTGCCATCTGAAAAACTTGATCTTCTCGAGTCATTACGATGACGCTTGCGCTTGTCCTTGGGGCCTCTCGGACTTTTCCCAAGGCACTTCAATTTCGCTACCAATTGCTCCTTGGTTAAATTCGGGTGTTCGTATTGTCCCAACTTTGAGTAAAGCTGATCCATCGTCAAGTCATCAAGAGAGTTGGACCAATTTGATGCGGTGGCTTGAGACTCCGCAGTCTTCGATGATTCGACCTCGTCGGCGCAGGGTTGAATGTCGGTGAGCGAGGGTTCTCGAGGGGAACTCATTCGGCTATCAGATGCGGAATCCGATTGGGATCGAGATGAGGTGCTATCGTGTTGAGGTGATTTACGATCATCACCATTGTGACCGTGACAACTACGATCGCCACCATTGGCACCACTGTCATTAATATTGTCTCGTCGCAAGTTTTTCATCGTTTCCGTTTCCACCTTCACGCGGCCAACGCGATCTTCGGAACCGTCGACGGCATCATCAATCTGAATTTGCGTCTCTCGCCTCGATGATGATGATTCCTCTGAAGGGTGGTCGCGGAGATCTTGCGCACCGGATGATATGGACTGCGGGGGTGAGAAATCGGAAATGCCGTCGTTCGATTTTTCCGACGCTGCCTGCATGTCCAATTGAGGATGTTCGGTGACAAATGTTAACGTTTGGGCGGGAAGTGGAAGAGGGGGAGAGGAAGTGTTTAGAATATTTGCGTCTGCAATTACAGCATTGCGAATCATATGTTCACCCACGTTGAGCATATGCACGGGAGACACAATGTTGGGCGGTCCGCTCGTGGGTGCCATGTTCCAAGCGGTCGTCACCGATTGAACAATTGGACTGAGATCGGGCATGGGAGGGGGTTGGGCCGAGGGAGGATGGATCGAATCGGTTTGAGGATTGTTGCCGATGAACATTTGGGCATTCATCGGTTGACCCATCATCCCTGGATTCACGGGCGAAGCCTGTAGTGAATTAGGGTTCACGATTTCCATCGTCAACATCGGTTGCATGGGGTCATTAGGAGGCACCGAATCCACGGAACTCGATGGAGTTTGATTGTTTGTACCCGAGTTGTCCAACATCAGAACCACCGGCGGCTGACCAGGATCGTTTGCACCGGGTAAAATCTGGGTTTGCTGCGGCTGAAGATGAGAGCCTGTGTTCGCGTGAACCTGGGCCTGGGCTTGAGCCATGGCGGCAGCATGCGCGACAGCAACGGCGGTCTGTGCGGCGTGTACAGCTTGAACGTGCGCCTGAGCTTGCGCTTGTGCTTGAGCTTCCACCTTGGCCACAGCGACCGCGGCGGCCTGGGCAGCAGCTTGAGCGGCGACCTGGGCGGCCTGGGCAGCGTGGGCAGCATGAACCGCTTGAACCGCCTGCACCTGGGCTTGCATTTGATCTTGAACCTGAACATCCACCTGAGCAGCTTGAGCATTGGCCACGGCAGCCACGGCAACAGCCTGAGCTACTTGTGCAGCTTGAACCTGTACGTGCATCTGGGCTTCTAACTGGGCTTGCACTCGCGCCTGGGCTTCGGCTTCAACAGCTGCCACGACAGCCGCCTGCACCGAAGCTTGAACTTCCGCCTGTGCCTGGACATTTTGCAGGGCCACCTGTGCCGCATCGTGAGCCTGGACGTTGGCAGCCGTCGAATGATCGTTGTCTATAATCATGTGATCCATAATCTGTTCCTGGTGTTTTTGCTGTTGCTCTACCGCGATTTGTATTAGGACGGCTGGGTCGGTGACGGTCAGAGGATTGGCCTGATCTATTATGGGGGTGGATGTCATTATCTCATTTTGCTTGTCTACGTTATCCACGTGATGATCCATCAGTTGACTGAACATTGCGTTGGTGTTGACTGCGGTTTGCGGTTCTTGCGGAGTTGATATCAGAGGGGAGCCCGAGGAAGGGATGGATGTGGCGGTTAACTGTGATTGCTGTTGTTGATCAGGGATCATGGAAACGCTGGATGATACACTCGCTATCGAAACTTGGGGGGAATTGGAGGGCTCTATGGAGTTTGCGGAGACCGGGTTCACGACTAACATTGTTGACAATTGTTCTTGATTAACTAACATCGTTAAATCCTGAGCAGGTGTTACATCAGTCGCCCCGGAATTCAGAGGGACGATTCCGGGCGAGCTGGTTGAAATCTGTGAAGGTTGGGTAAGTGAAGAAGCGGCGGCGTTCAGCACCATCACCGGACTAGGTGAGCTGTCCATCAACAATATTTGAGCTTGGGTGTTCGACAGAGGGTCTAATGTATTTTGTTGTGCGGCACTTATGTTTAAACCGTTTATGGTAGGGCTACTCGTCGTGTTGGTCGGTACAGGAGTAATCGTTGCAGGTGACATCTGACCGTACTCGAAGCTTTGTGATTCCATAACTCCTTTCCAAAGTCTACCGAGCAACAAAAGATTAGAGTGATGGTAGGAAGAAGAAAGAAGAAGAAGAGAGGGAAAAAAAAAAAATAAAAATAAAAAATAAAAATAAAAATATAAAATAAACTAAAATAAAATAAAAAAAATAAAGATTTTTGGAATGGGAAACAACAAATACTTTTGAGCTTGATGTTTGTAATGTGTTGAATTGATTGTCCCCCCCAAAAAAAAATTAATATAAAAAAAAAGGTATTAAACTATATATATAAAATGGAAGATATATAGCATTTGGTGCAACTTGATAAACGGAAACAGCCCCTGAGTTCTAGATTCCTTTTCTGGAAGAGAGGTTACTCGGATGCTCATCTTTACTTTAAATCTCTTATGAGGACCATAAAAGGGCGAGCGTAAAAGAAACGAAGGAATGTCGATAAAGAGGTGGTAAAAAAGAGAGAAGTCAAATAAATGCATTATTATTATTATTATTATTATTATTATTATTATTATTATTATTATTATTATCTATTATTATTATATAGCACTATTATATACAGTATTGATATTATTATTGTTACTATTATTGTTATTATTATTTATTATTACTATTATTTGCCATTGGCTTATTATCATGCATACAGTATTATCATATACAGTATGTATATTACATATTACTATATGTAATTTATTTTTATTTGCTTTTTTATTTTTTTATTTTTAGATCTTTTCATTATGTTACCACTGCTTATTACTACCACTGCTTTATTGCAAAAAAAGGCGACACGATGATGAATCCGGATTTCGGACGTCGGTTATTGCTACGCGCTGTGGTGTCAGGCCTCAAACAGGCTTAATTTGAACTTCAGATTGTGTTATGCACTGTAGAATGATGCCTCGCAAATGAACATGCCAAGTTTTTTTGAAGATTCGGAGTCACCAGATGATCGAAGATTATTCCGACTCGCGGAGAGTTTCAGATCTCTTTTTTAACTTTAAAATCCGCACCTCGACAAACTCGAATGTACTTCCAAACATGGAAAGAGGGATCGTTAGGGTATTCATAGAGAACGATCAAAGTCAGACGGGATGATGCAATGCTTGTGATTTGATTCACCTACAACACCTTTGCATTATTTTATTTTTTCCTTTCGACCGGATTGGGTAAAAATAGAATGGTTTGCCGTAAACAGATCTCCGTACATGTTACCACAGTATGCTGTACGATTGACAAGTACACCGTAATCGAGTGTCGCCATAAAAGAAGAAGCAGCGAAACTTGAACGGTTTTGCGCACAATAAAGTAAAGTGGTCTAGGCGTTGACGAGAAACTCCGAGTCGTAAGGTCAGAGATTCAAAAGAAAAAGAAAAAAAAAACATATGGTCGTGCATTCATTAAACACGAGAGGCGCGATGAATGTAAAGTAAAGTAATGAATGCAGGGCAACGACGAGAGGGGAGGGAAAATTCCTATCCTTCCCCGGAAAAAAAAAAAAAAAAAAAAAAAAAAATTGAACATCAGGAAGTAATTTTACGTGCAGCATGTGCAAACCAAACAGCTCATCTTTGGCTAGACATACGGGCAGGCACAAAGTTGACTATGCCTCTAAAGGAAACGGACGAAGAGCAATTCCGAGGATATATTAGAGGCAATCGATAGCGCACCAGTGATGGTGGTATGGTTTGTGCGCAGACCAAAAATTTGTCTCAAACAATAATAGTTCATTATCATGGCGGAAACGGTTAGGAGAAATGGGATAGATATTATTGTTATATATTAATGAATCTCACCATGTTTCTTAACCAGATTTCGTTTAATAAAGACTTGGGTATTGTGTATTGTTTGGAGATGAGTAAGCAAGATACGTATGTGCGTGCGTACGTACTGCACTGTACCTCCTTGAATAAAATGTATGTACACACGCATTTGATTAAAGGACTTGCTGTTTTTAATGGAAAACGCCCAATGTCAGAGTATATACGGTGTGTGCCACTTTCATGATGCTATTTTTTACGCCAGGTTTTCCTGAAATTTATGTCAGCTTGAATTGGCGGGAATATGTTGATTAGCTAAATGAGAACAATTGACAATTTGACGCATGACGCCGATTATTCCCTCTAACGGGCAGCCGTATTTGGAAAAAGATCGGGGTCGTCTTTTAGAAATCTTTCCGCAGTTCTCATCCGAGAGGCCAAGCGTGTCGTCACATCTCCCGCTTGCCAATAATAAATAACCTTTCCCTTGGAAACACGAAGGAATCCAAATCGCGCACACTTCCCTCACGGTGTGATTCGCGATGCGCGCACTTTTCCCCCCTTAACCCCTCGACCTCTCTCGCACGCGGGGCAATTGTTTTCGAAGGCGGGCAGGAATTTTTCGGACCCTATATAATCGTGATCCTAAAATTCGCATTACATACGTATCATTCAGAAATGGGAGACCGAAAAAATCGTATTCAGCATGCTTGGTCGCCTTCAAATGTAATTAATTGTCCACGTACATGCTGTGCATTCTCCGCGGAGGCACGCACCACAATAAGAGAAGCACGATCATGTGAAAAAGAAAAAGAAAAAGAAAAAAAAGGCGAATGAATCATCCTTCTTTCATCGCGTGCATTAAGGGTGTCTGCTTCACGAGGAAAAATCCATCTCTCTTCGGTTTTGGCGTTCGGTCACGTTAAAATTGATATGCCGCTCACGTGATAAAGTGAAATTTTTCATGAGCCAACCGTAAATATTTGGTAAACACCCTGGTTTAGAGCCAACGGACTAGTTTTCAACTAATAATCGATCGCACCTTAATTACAATGAGTGTGTAAGACATGCAGAAAATGCGTTGGCCTAACAATAGAACCGGCGTTCTTGTTTTCTGATGCATTGTGTACACCAAATCAAGGATTCTTTTGTTTCGGCGAGAGAAAAAAAGTTGCGTGTGGACGCTGCACGCAAGGAAAAACCATAGGTTTCACGTATTGTATGATTGTTTGTGCATGTGATGTACGAGAGGAGCTCGCGAGAAAAAGAGCAAGGAAAACGGTGTGTGCGTCTCACGTATTGTGTACACCTATTTGGGCATGTGATGTATGATAAGATCTCAGAAGGCCTCGCGAGAAAAAATACCCGAGCAAATCGAAAACGCAGAGATGAGGTGAATTCATGCGTACCTTGCCGATAATGGTAATGAATGGATGTTGGTAAGATGTGATGAGGGTGACGCGTTTTTTTCCTACTCGCATTTGAAAAAGGAGGTTACGCAACACGAGACAACAATTTGGATGAATTTTTACGCCCTCTTAATATATTTATCGGTCACAATGTCACGAAACAAGTATGTGTGAGAATGTTACGAGATTGTCCCGTGAGACCATCGCTTGTTGAGGCTGAACATTGAAACGAGTAATGATCCAACGATCCGATTGTTCGTTTCACAATTGCCATCGTAAAAAGCTGCATCTTCAAGTTCGTTGAGTGAAAGATTTATTCATCGGGAGTCCGACGAGAGGGAGAAGATGAAAGCGTGTTGCGAGATCACGCGAAGTCCTGCCAAAGGAGGTCCCGAACGGTCGGCACCAAAATGCGTGTGTCATGGGTTCCTCGGACGAGCAGGATTTTTTTTTTTTTGTTCATACGCTTCCAATGACTTTCCTTTTTTTTTTTTTTTTGATCTCACAACGAACAGTGAGTGACACGCAAGTAACAATGATTATTTGGTGAAACATAATGTCATGCACGGGAATAAGGGTTGCAGCCTGGGTTGTGATCATTTGACTTTTTTTTCATAATCCAATCAGCGTAAACGAACACGTACGGCAATTGGAATTGCGTTCAAAGAGACATCCCTCCCTCCGCGTATATGCCACCGTCATTGGGTGTGTCTACTGGATTGTTGTAAAAAGGGGCGAGATCTTCAACGAATCGGTGGTTGGTTTTTCTTTTCCTTTATCAGATCGACCCACAATTTCTGATGGTGAAGGTGAGTGAATCACGAAGAGCCACACACACGAGTGGATAAACTTTGTATACGGGATTTTATCATTGCACATGCAGCAAGTATATTTGCATTTTCTGTAAAGTATACGAAATTGCGTACGTAATGCTTGCCAAAACCAACTTTTCTCCTATGAAAATATTTAGTCCAGTTGATTTGGTAGTTGTTTGTGTTAATGTTGTGCTGATGTTATTGGCCATTGCCTCATTCGTTAGGCGCACATAATCATAACACCTGTCGCCTTTACAAGAAAGAAAAAAAAATTTTTTTTTTTTTTATTATTATTATTGGTAAACATGATTGTCCGGTGTATGTGAAATGACAGTTATACGTTGCGATTGATACTGTATATCAGACATGTACTGTATACAGTATATGCGTGCGTACGTACGTACGATGTTAATAACAAACTTGTATAGCAGTAATATTTGCGAACACGTTTTTTTTTTTTTTTTATTGCAATCAAATATTCACCGTGTACACCTTGCTGTGCGTTGCATTGCGGTGTATGTGGTGGGAAGAAGTGGTCATGCAGAAGGAAGGGAATTGAATGTACCGTACACATCGCGAATATTCAGTACATACGTAAAGTACAATACGGCATCTTGGCTTGAATAGTGTGGACTCACACACATGCTTTGAGGTGTTGTGTGCTACGGTGACACGTCGTGCGACATTGAATAAGCCCACGCTTAATAGGTTTCACTCATACGTGGCCGCCACTACCGTAAAGAAAGAGGAATTTACCATTTTCTTTGTTATCCCATTCATATTTGTAAATTTGTGAAATTTATGGAAATTATTATCCGCCGCCTCGTACACCCCTTTGCCAAGTTTTAAAAAGATATGGTTTACATTTTTCCAGATTCGTCTGCAGATTCTAAGATATTGTGTAAAACCTAAGATTTAGCAGAATTTGCACGTTTACATATGCAACCTCCTGTTGAAGCCTTCTTTATTATGTAATATTGGTGACACATAAAGACTGGAGAATGAACAAATCACGGTTAGCCCCAAAACTTTTTTACTTACCTTATTGACTAATAGGATAAACCAACTTTTTTCTTTGTTTTTTTTTTTTTTGTTTTGTTTTTTTTTTTTTTTTCTTCGTTTCGCCCAATCCACCTTTACACCACAAGGAATTCATGTGTATGCATTACACACACAATGACCTAATACGTACGTACGATACGATACGTAGGGCGGCTTTGGACTTATCAAATTTTCAAAAGTGCATACGTGCATACATATACCATGCGTAACGTATATTTGCTTGACCATGGATAATGCATCGCCACATTCTATAAAAAGAAAAGGAAAAAAGGAATCAATCGATTTCTCATACTGGTCAATGATTCCACCAATTTAATGAAATTCTTGCACGGTATTTGTTTTGATTAACTTACGGTGTAATGCGAATGGACTATTGGGAAAAAAAAAAGCATATTATAACGTCGCGACCAGTTCATAGTCTCGCGCGACCACGGCCTAATTTCGCGCAATAAAGTTGGTCGGTTGGTCAACAAAAAACACGTCCGGTCATATATTCGCTAATAGGATTTTCCCCTTTCAGTTTAAATGACAAACGTCTATTGGTCAAATCGTCATCACCTTATTAAAAAAAAAAGTTATTCTGACAATGCAAATTTAGAAATATTAAATCTTTGTGATAAAAATTTTCCGTCAAATGGTTCACCGATTAAGGAATAATAAAAAAAAAAAAAGCATGATATGAAAAGAACTCGATTGCGCTACATTTATTGATCAATCAATTCTTTCAAATTAATTAAGCGAAAAAGCTAGTCACACTTATTTATTTACTCATTCTACCCATTGCCTATTGTGAGATAGATCAAGACAGATTAAGAATTGCTTTTCAAAGGGTTGAAATTCTAAAGATAGATTTATTGTGAATCAAAATAGGGTTTGAAATTCGAAAGATCGATTCACTACTATCACATGAATTAGATAAGGTTACTCGATATGGCATAGTTCATGCGTGCATCGACACCATTGTCTCAACAATCGAGTTTACGTCATATGCTCGAAAGAAAGGGTTGAGGTGAAAGAGAAAGAAAGAAAGAAAAGAAAAAGAAAGAAAGAAAGAAAGAAATGAGTCCTTCACGGCGATGGGTTCCTTTCTGTTTTGCAAGTGATATTCCGAATCATTCTCATCCCCCTTCGATGCGTTTTCAAAGTGGGCCACCACCACGAGCCACGAGGAAGACGTTCTTGATCTCATCTCGATCTTGTGATAACAACCGATGGCGCTCATGGTGCAGTAATGAACAATATTCTTGTTGCCCACGCTCTCTCACAAATTTCGTGCCACACGTCCTTCACCCTTGAAGCAATAGGTGATTGTGAACAAGATCGAAACTTCTTTACATTAATAATACGTGTAACTGTTGATGCGTGTAACTGGACAATATTGTCATAATAGACGACCTGAATTTGTAATTCATGATGTGGCTAACATTGATGCTTCCGTCCACGTTGGGCTCACTTCTCTTCCATGTTGTTATAGTGTGTGCATGCGTGTAATAGTACATTTGCATTCGAATGTGTGAGACTTTTTAAAAATTTTTTTATTCTTTACAATAGGAAAATGCACTACACTCGACATCCTAGTAAGCGCAGGGGGACGTGTGGCGTGATGTGATGCGCAACAAAGAAACAAGGATCTCTAGATTTACAAGTCTCCAAATGCGACCACCACCATCTTTTCGCATTCCGATCGAAAATCCTCTATTTATTTACAATAAAGACAGGCAAACACTTTTTTTTTGACCCTTTGCGAGGCGGTTATCATATCTTTTCCCGGGGGGTCCTTAAGCCTGTTAAGGAACGATCAACATCGTGAGATGAGGTTTTTTCTTTTAGCAGAAGAAACGACTGATCCACATTACCAAGATATAGCGATAGTGTGCGCGCGCTAAACTGAAGATCAACATGCAAATACATAATTTCCCGGAAGAAGGCGTTGATGTTTGGGAAATCTCGATTTGGAAGTGTTGCAATCAAGTGTCATCGACGAAATGTAACGCTTAATTCAACGTGCATCTGCTTCACAACTTTCCCATTCCAAATTTTTTTTGCGGCACGGATGGGATCGATCCATGTGACCAGAACGTGACCTTCACCATCAAATCCATCCAATGTTGTAACTGATGGATATCTAGAATTTTTTCCAATGTCTCCCACGCCTCAAAACTCTCCAGAATCTCTACCTCCTACTTCACCACCATATCGATTTCGTGCGAATCTTTCTCCTCTTGATCGCTTCATTGCCATAGCCGCGGTTTCATCGGGCTGGGGCCTGTTGTTTGGCTCATACACCGGTGGGAAAACTGCAGGTCTTCAGCATCTGGCCGAGAATGCTCACAAACTTCCTCGTACCAAAAGCGGATGGTATCATTATCACAAACATAAGAATTTTCGAATGATAATTGGTGGTCTGAAAAGTGGCATCCACTTGGCCGGCAAAACCAGTTTGTTGTGCTTGTGTTTCAGCGGTACGGAGGCAATACTGGATGAATTGAGAAAGGAGAATGATATTTGGAATAGTTGTGTCGCGGGTCTTTTGAGTGCCGGAATTATATCAAGTTTCTGTCAGTACGCTTCTTTAATGTATAAAGCATTACTTTTACCCGTTCTCATCGCCATTCTATATTCCAATTCCTAACGAACCTTCCACATCATTAGACCGATTACCGCGACAGAGTGCCAAGTACGCATACACAATAGGACTTGGATTTGGACTAATCACTGGTGGTATGCAAGATTACCTTAAACTTTCTCAGGGACAAAGGATTTGGTACATAGATCGATTAAAAGGTAATCACAACTGAAACATAATCAGATATAAACCGAAAGTGAAAAAAGATATCGATTAAGAAACTCTGTCGGACGATACGCTGGTGCGCCTAATTTTTCTCACGCATAACAATTTCACAATAAAATAACATGCAATATGCGTATACATACACAGTATATTTTAATTACTAAAGCTTATTTA